GAGCCAATGGAGACCAACTAGCTTATAATATAGTATTTGTTAATAATTAATAACTAACTCCATTAGCTCCATTGGCTCCATTGGCTCCATTAGTTCCATTGGCTCTATTGGCTAGCGATTTTTTCAATGAAGTATATCTCTGGCTTATATCTATAGTGTTTCTGCAAGTTAATTATAGTTACAAATAACTTTTATTACACTTTATTCACTTTATTCTGATTTTTATTGATAAATTGATATCGGATGGCACATGAAAGTAAAATCGATCCTACACGTTGTTCGCTATCGCTCTCGAATAATGAATTTTTAATTTTTTTCTTATTGGATAATCGATAGGAACAAAGATCTATATGTAACTTGTACTAGTAAATTCCGTGTGTAACCTAGATAAAGAAATTAATAGTTGCCAGAATTTGCTAGAAGATATACCGATACATGCATAATGATATTCATTTATAAATAATCCATTGAAAAATTAATTAATCTGTACATTTTGCTCCGAACTCGAATTACTGTATCATAAAAATCAAAAATGCCGACTTGCGTTCATAAAGGTTGTGAAAAAACTTATAATGAAGAAGATAATAATGATTCAGCTTGTCTTTATCATCCATCTGCACCAATTTTTCATGAAGGTTTGTAACGGGTTGAATATAAAAAAAAAGTGGATCAAATCAATTTAATTTTTTCAATATATAAAAATTATTTTATTACATTAGGGTTAAAGGGATGGCAATGTTGTAATAAACGAGTTACATCTTTTGATGAATTTCTCGCAATTCCTGGCTGTACTAAAGGGTAATTATTTTATTATTTTATTTTATTTATTTATATTTAAATTTTTTTTTTTCTTATTTCTAGTATTAAATTAAAAATATAACCGATTTCAATTCAAAATTTATTTTAAATTAGTCGACATAGCAATGAAGTTCCTCCTCCACCAGAATCGGATGAAACTTCAAAAGAATCGGAAATTATTTCTTCTAAACCTTCGGTTGAACCTACAATTGATAAAAATGGGGTTGAAATATATAATAGCGGTCCAACTTATACACCAATAGAGTCAAAACCTGTTGATCTTCCTCAAAATACTAAGATTGCCCCACAAGAAGAAAAACCTGAAGAAGACGACCTTAACATTCCAGTTACTCCTGGTACTGTTTGTAAAAGAGCCAGTTGTAATACACCTTATGTAGATGATATAACTAGTCGTAATGAAGGACCTCAAGCAAAATGTGTTTATCATCCTGGTTCACCTATTAAAAGTAAATTAAAATCAAAAAACTAAACTGTAAACCTGAAAGAGAATCATTTAATTTATCATCTTTACAGTTTAT